ATCTTACATTATTTTTTATTAATTTTGTTGTCTTAAGGTAATTCATTAAATAAATTTTTTCTTGTAATCGACTAACTACTTCCCTTCTCTCAACAGAATATCTAGAACAGACTAACAAAACATGTTTTACTGTCTCTTCTTGAAAACAAAAATCACAATTTCCTGTTGGATGTTTCCTCATTTTAAATAATGTACTATTTAACCTTGTATGATCAAAACGTAATCTGGATATAATGGTTTCCTCTTTTCTATTTCTTCCTGTTCTCCTCATTCTAGCAACTTTTCTTTGAATACTGTAAAGCCACCTTCCAGTTCTATCCTCTTCCCATTGCTTCTGCAACCTTTCCTTAACCTTTTGTTTAATAATAGATTCAATTTCTTCTTCACTAAATGGTATCATTATATCAATATAACTATTTTTTGTAGTTTGTTTTTCATATTCATCTGCCAACTAATTTCCTTTTACTCCTATATGTGACGGTATCCATGTAAAAATAACTATTAAACCCATTGCCTGAATTCTTTAAATGGAAAATTGAATCTCTAATAAAAGATCTGGTCTACTAATAGAAGGATTATTTAATATTGAATATAATGATGAACTTTAATCAGAACATATTATACTTCTTACAGGACAAACTTCCTTAATCCATCGTAAAGCCAAAATGATCCCCATCATCTCTCCTACATAAACTGACACTCCATCAGAATTCTTTTACATTTTTTAATACTGAATTCTGGAACAATGAATGACACCCCACTATTGCTATTTGAATTTTTTTGAAGCATCTGTATAAATTTGGACATATCCATAGTACTTATTGTCTAAATAAATTTGTACCGAAATTGGATGTAAGAGATTTTCTTTTTCCCTTCGTCTTGACTCTTCTGCTGCTTCCTACTCTTCTTTAGAGATTTGGTGGTCAGCAAAATCCGAAAAAAAAAAAACAACAGATGAACTCATTTAGTCCTTTTTTAAAATTCTTACTATCTTTAAATTCTATTAATCAAACCTGTTGATGTTTCTTTAACAAGCGGTTTATAATTTTACTTTCTGATTTTTTCTGCTTAGTGTTTATGACGTTTATTTTTTATTGTATGTTTTTTAAATCTATCTTCTACACTCTAATATAACATATATTGTTCCATTTTCTGCCAAATGTTGACATACACTTCCTGTATATTTATTCAATACAAACAATCTATAATTAGGGCCTGCATAGCTAAAAATTATTCCTGTAATCAATTTAACTTTCTTTGAATCTTATTGCATCTTCCCTTTTTTCCTTTATTCCATTCTTTTTGACACTTTTTATAAATTTTTGTTTACCAATACTTTGTGTCTGTAAATTGCTTATACTAATTGTAAAATTAATTACACCTGTTGTTGCCCTTTTTGATTCCAAATCTACTATTTGCTGTATAGATATTAAAAATCTCCAAAAGACTTTCCTGTAAAATTATTGCTGAATTTGAATCTGAACATATGCTTTTTATTTCCTCTATCAACTGAGCCGCTTAAAATATGGCTAACATTTCTCATTTGTATAAAGACAATCCTTTATTGATTTGATTGCCTTGTACTTTTTGAAATCCAGACACTATAAATGCTATTTCAATTTTTTTTTAATGCATTTGTATTTCTTTTCCTTCATCTATTAAAGATTTCATAACGGTGGGTAATCAATAAGAAAAGTTGATTTTTGTTGTTGCCCTCACCTCCTAGCAGTGACGACAAATACATTGCCGACATGTGCGGCTCATTGGGTATTTTGGGTAACATAGTATGTGCATGCACGGCACGGCTAAGTGGGTTTTCCTATCAGAAAATTGTGTGTTAAAGATGAAAATTTGGTGATTTTTCTTTCTTTTCTTTTCTTTTTTTATGGTTAAAACAGATTAACCTTTTCAAACATGCCTGGGGGAGTGGTAGCCTAGTGGTTAGGGCATAGAGCTTGGAATCCTGAGGAATCAGAGGTTCATCCTGAGAGATAGGTTAAATGCATAGGTAATTTTCTCCAATGTGAAATAAATCAAGTTAATTTATTAAACTTGTCCTGTCTTTGTTTTTATATTCAAAAACTGAAAAATTTTAAATTTCTTAAATAGATAACAGTGCTTATATTTAATTCCTTATTGTTATTTGTGTTCTCCAACCCCATTTCTTCCAAAATGTTCAGTCAGGTGACACAAAAAGTTCAGTCCGCTTTGCAGCTAAATTTTGCTAAAACATCTCAATGTAACTTCCAAAACATCTCAATGTCACTTCCACAATGTCACTTGTAGGGTTGCCAACTTGCATGTTTGTGAGTGACTTGAGCATATGGAAAACAAATTATTATCCAGCAATTCACTTTAATACAAAATAACAAACTTTGCTTCAGAAAATAAGGATCTTAAACTTAAGCCTGTCCTGC